CTTCAAATTAGGGAGGGGGTCGTCGTCTGCATCGGCGTCACGTCACGTCGTCGGCGGCAGCGTCGGCGTCGGCGTCGTCGGCGTCGGCGTCGGCGTCGGCATCGTCGTCGTCGGCACTGGCGTCGGCGTCGGCGTCGGCGTCGGCGTCAGCGTCGGCGTCGTCGTCGTCGTCGCTGTCACTCGCCGTGGATGCAGTGTGACACGCAGGCCTTAGAAAGGAGAAAGCAGAGTCGAAATGTAATTTCGATCGGAGCGTCTGCGTTCTCCAAACTAGGGCGGGGGCCATCGTCGACGTCGTCGTCGCGGTCGTCGTGGTTGTCGTCGTCGCCACATGCATGCCCCAGAATGCAGAATGTGGGATCGACCTGTTTGGGCCGATCGGCGCGCGTACTCGCTAAACTGGGGCGGGGGTCGTCGCCGTCGTGGTCGTGGTCGTGGCTGTGGTCGTGTTTGTGGTCGTCGTCATGGTCGTAGTCGGCGTCGTGGTCGTCGCCATCGCCCGCGCATGTGGCGTGTGCAGCAGAACACCGCGTGTTTGGAATTATTGCCACGTTACCACATGGCTTGTCGGGCGGACTGCTTTTTGTGTCCCTGGCGCTGTCGCGTGTTCGCCCTCATGCGTGGCCACGTCGCGCGCGAAATTATTAGTTCCATTTGTCAGGCGATGCCTCGAGGAGGCCGATGAGGACTACTCGAGGGATGTGAAGGAGGGCGGGGACTTGGATGATGAGAGGGGAGTCTTCGCCGTCGTTGTTTTTTGTCCAAACCATCCTGTGGTGTTGGGTCCTCGTTTTGCAGAGAGAGCGCCCCGCGGCCCTCCTCCTCCGCCTCCTCCTCCTCCTCCTCCTCCTCCTCCTCTTCCTCCTCCTCCCTCTCCTCCTTGCCCCGCATCCCCATCCTCCCATCCCTGCCTCTGCCCTCCGCACCCAATGCAGCGGTTTGTGGCCTGACAAGGGGGAACCACCGAAAGCCCCCCAAAACGGTGACCACATGCGTCCCGCGCCACCCAGTACGGCACTGCGTGGCCCCATAGGGAGCTCCACCGAAGGCCCCTGCGGCTGTGACCACATGCGTCCCGCGCCACCCAATACGGCGCTTCGTGGCCCCATAGAGAGCTCCATCGAAAGCCCCAAAGACTGCGACCACGTGCGTCCCGCGCCGTGGCTGTGACCACATGCGTCCCACGCCACCCAGTACGGCGCTCCGTGGCCCCATAGAAAGCTCCACCGAAGACCCCAGAGGTTGTGACCACATGCGTCCCGCGGCACCCAATATTGTATTCCGTGGTCATAATGAACTCGACCGCGTGCCCCAGCGGCTGTGACCACATGCGTCCCGCGACACTCAGTACGGCGCCTCGTGGGCCCATAGAAAGCTCCACCGAAGGCCCCAAAGGCTGTGACCACATGCGTCCCGCGGCACCCAATATTGTATTCCGTGGTCATAATGAACTCAACCGCGTGCCCCAGCGGCTGTGACCACATGCGTCCCGCGACACCCAGTACGGCGTCTCGTGGGCCCATGAGGGGGCCCCACCGAAAGCCCCAGTGGCTGTGACCACATACACACCGCTCAGCCAGGACGGCGCTTCGTGGCCCCACAGGGAGCTCCACCGAAGGCCCCAAAAGCTGTGACCACACGCGCCCCGCGCCACCCAGTTCGGCGCCGTCTGGCCCCATATGGAGCTCCGCCGAAGGCCCAAGTGGCGGTGCCCGCATGAGTCCCGCGCCAACGAGGACGGTGCGCCTTAGCCCAAAAGGCGGCTCCACCAAAGACTCCTGCGGCGGTGCCCACATGCGTCCCGCGCCACCGAGTACGGCGCCTCGTGGCCCCACAAGGAGCTCCACCGAAGACGCCAATGGCTGTGACCACATGCGTCCCGCGACACCCAATACGGCGCTTCGCGGCCCCATATGGAGCTCCACAGAGACACCAACGGCTGCGACCACGTGCGTCCCGCGCCACCCAATACGGCGTTTCATCGCCACATAGGGAGTTCCGCCGAAAGCCCGAGGTGACTGTGACCACATGCGTCCTGCGCCACCCAGTGCGGCGTCCCGCGGCCACGTAGGGAGCTCCACCGAAAACCTCAGCGGCTGTGACCACATGCACCCCGCACCACCTAATACGGCGCCATGTGGCCCCATAGGGAGCTCCACCGAAGGCCCCAGTGGCTGTGACCACATGCGTCCTTCGCGACCCAGTACTTCGTTTCGTGGCCCCACAGGGGGCTCCACCGAAAACCCCAGGGTTGTGACCACATGCGTCTCGCGCCACCCAGTACGGCGTCTCGTGGCCACATAGGGAGCACAGCCGAAGGCCCCAATCGCTGTGATGTGTGGGCGTGGGCGTAGGGGTGGGCCCCACGTGAAGCTTCACCGAAAGCCCCACTGGCTGTGATCACATGCGTCTCCCCCCGCCAATATCGGCGCACCCCACACACGTTCCGTGGCCCAATACGGAGATCCACCGAAGACCCCACTGGCGACGGTCGAATGCGTCCCCCCCGCCCATTCTGGCATACCCCATCACGCGCTCCGTGACCCTAGAGGAAGTTCCACCGAAGGCCGCAGTGGCGACGGTCGCATGGCGGCACCGCTCGATTTCGGCACATCCCTCACACGCATCGTGGCCCCATATGAAGCACCACCGAAAGCCCCAATGGCTGCGCCCGCATGCGTCTCCGCCCCATTTGGGCACACCCCTTGCAAGATTAGTGGCCCAGTAAGAGGTCCACCGAAGGCGATACCCACAACGGCGGTCTTCACAGCTGCATATGGTTGGGCCATCCGCCAGGATAATTTCGACGCCCCCGCGTTGCTACATGGCGATTCGAGTGGAATCGTATTTTGTTGGGACTCCAGGCGGTACCACGTGGCGACTACGAGTGGAATAGCATGCTCCCCAAGCGCAGGCAGCGAGTAGAGTTGAATGGTATTTCGTTCGACTCTGAGGTGTTGCCACGTCGCGAGTACAATTGGTTCCTATTTCGTATGTCTTTCGTTTCCCAGAACTGCCACGAAACGGACCAGACGGAGTAGTCTCTGTTCGCTTCCATACGTGCTGGGGGTCAGGGAGCAGAAGGAGGGGTGGCGCAGAAGGACCAGGAGGACGGAGGAAGAAAAAAATCTCGCCCGGGCGAAAACATCTGGGCGAAACCAAACGAAACGATCAGGCGATTTCGACCAGGCGCAAACGACTGGGTGAAAACGACCGTGCGAACAAAACTACCGGGCGGCAACGACTGCGCGAAACCGACCATGCGAGAACGACACCAGGCGAAGACGACACCAGGCGGAACCGTCCCTGGCGAAAGAGGCGGCAAGCGAAGAGAACCTGGCGGAAAACACTGGGCGAAACCGGCACCGGGTGAAACCCGGCCATTTTCCGAGAGTCGTCCCAAGGGACCTGAACAGGCATCCAAAAGCCTCGGCCCCACAACCCCACAACCCAGGCACGGTGGCGGGATGGGCCGAAGGCCACCAAATCCGCCGCCACCGTCTGATTGCAGGGGGGTGCACGGCGGGCCGAGTCTGCAACTAGCACTTTGGGCCCATCAACCAACATCCAGGTCTCGGCCAAACCCGCCGGTCACCCGGAAAATAAGTATCCCAATGGCTTTTCCGACGGGCACGGTCGCAAGATCCTTCCGAGATGGCCAAGATGGCCCCCAAGACGGTCCCGCGACGCTTCCAAGACGTCCAACATGGCCCTAAGATACATCCGAGATGGCCCAAGATGACCCCAAGACGGCCCAAGACGTTCGCAGACGGACTCAAGACAGCTCAACAGGCCCACCAAACCGACCAAGACGGCTCCACAAGGGTCCTCCAGACAGCACCCAAGAGATAATCGGTGATCTTCCTTACGTTTCCCGAAAAAGACTTCTGCGGTCCCGATGTTTAGATCTTTCGGTGGCCCTAGACGGCCCAAGAGGCTTCTAAGATATCCCCATAGGGCCCAAAAGCCTAGAGAGGGCCCCAAGACGGGCCAAGGGGGCCCCAAGACCTTTAAGACTGCCCGACAGCGCCCCAGTGAGGCCCCCAAGACTGCCTCCGACGGCTAAGAAGCCCCCCTGAGGCCCCCAGAGACTCCAAGAGCCCCCCAAGAGGCCCTCAGGAGTCCCCAGTCTTCCAGGAAGCTCCCAGGAGGCCCTAGAGGCCCCCCAAAGGTGTCCTCGTCCTCCTCCTCCTCCGCCTCCTCCTCCTCCTCCTCCTCCTCCGCATCCAATTCCTTCCTCTCCTCCTCCGTCTATTCCTCTACCAAGTGTTTCCCCGAGTTGTTCCACAACAACTTAAGGAAGGCATAGCCCAATAGCTTGGCAAGGTGTCGGCAACATCGGCATTGCCAACAAAGCAGCAGTGGCTCGCAGTAGGCGTCCTGGATAATCTCAATAGTGGACCCTCCTGTTACGCACCAGCTGCAGCCTCCCACATCAGCAGTGGCCGCAGCCTCCTACATGTTCTCAACAGCGGTGGCCGCAGCCTCCTACATGTGGCGAGCCAGCAGCAGAGGAAAACACTGCACAACGGCGACGGTGAGCAACTCTAAAGAAACGACAAGAGGAAACGAAGCGAAATGCACTGACCGAAAATATGCTATAAAACGGGGCAGGACGGTGCACAGAAAATTCTAAAAAGCTCGGGGGACAAATATCCACCAAACGTTTCCAGGCACGTCATAGCCCCGCCCACCGCCCCGCACCTTGGACTCCTTGGACACCTTTGGGCGGTTCAAACAAGAACGATGCCAAACGGAAAATGCAAAATGCTGCCCAGATTGACAACGGCCGCTCTTGGGCGGGCGCTCCTCCCGAGCAAACGACGACGGCCAGCCGAGGATAACCCTCGGAGACAAACACAAGGCAGAAAAGGCGACCAGAAACCCAGATCAACGACGCCTCGGCGAGAGGCGCTGGCCTTCGCGGCCGTTGAGCGAGGGCGCCTTGGCCAGCCCGGCGAGGACGACCCGCGCGCCCACCACCAGCGTCCCGGCTGCGCCTGTTCGCATGCTCGCACGGCCGATGCCGCGCGCGACTGCCGCCGCGGCCAGGGAAAGAGAGGGTATGGGGAGCGGGTAGGAAGGAGGGAGCAATGAGGGGGAGGATGAGGAGGGGGAGGAGGAGGAAGAAGAGGAGGAAGAGGAGGAGGAGGAGGAAGAAGAGGAGGACCGACCGACACCTCTGGGGGCATGGGTTACATCCGAACACCTCTACATCGCCGTAGGACCGACATATCTGCCACGAATTTCAGGCCTCCAGCCCGCTCACAAATCACAGAGCCTTTCAGCCCCCGGGCTTCCACGCGTAAAAACCGAAGGTTTAAACCCCAAGAGACGGGCCGCGGACCCAGCGACGCTATCACCGAAACCCGAAGTCCGAAAGACACGGACCGTGTCAGCCTGAATGCGGGCACGTTTCGACGGGCGCGGCGCGGAGGGGAGGATCAGAGGAGGGGGCGGAGGGTCAGCAGCCTCGGCGGCAGCACGCAGGGCCTCAGAGGAAGTAGGAAAGGTCGCACATCGCATAGCCGTAAGCGCGATACGTTCACCCCCAGACATCGGTAGAGCAGACAAATGCATCCCATCGTCCATTGACGTCGCACCCCCTGCATTGAAAGGCGAAGTAGAACCAAGCTGCAGAACCTCCCGTGACCCAGATTGTCCAGCACAGCCCTTCACCAATGTAGGGGTACGAGCTCCCTTCGAAGCGGGGCCAGTAGGAAAAGACGGATAACATCGCATAGTTGTATCGCAATGATGATCATTCCCAAACAGACACGGTATAGCAGACAGGTGTACCCCATCGCCACAAAACGTCGCACCATTGAAAGGTAAAGAAACTGAGCCACAATCTATGCTGTGATCGCCGTTCATTTCGAATCGTTCGCCATGCACATTTAGATCTCGTCTGACAGGAATGCCTGAAGGATGCGCTCGAGATGGTTCATCAGCGCCACCCCGACTTTCTCGGTGGCTCCCAGCTGCTCTAAGCAACAAATCAACGCGTTGAGTGAAGGTTCGCTCGTCAACAAAATGTTTACCTGACCCTCCTTGCGTGCGCTCTGGATCTTGATGAAGGGGAACTTCTCCGTGACCGCATCGAGGAGAAGATCCTTGACTTCGGTGTGCCACACCGCGAAGCGATGCTGATTCCTGACGCCGACGCTTACCCCCGCCTCGTGACCCCCGCCGTGAACATGCCAGACAAATTCAGGAAGAGGAAGTGGGAGATGGATGACAAGGTGCCGCTGCAGAAGCTCGAGAGGTACAAATGGCTCAAGACAAACGGGGCACACTCTCGCTTCAGGGTCACGTATCGGGGGCTCATATTGTGATGCATCAGCTCTGCAACGACCAGATCTGCGCGCGTTCGCACGATGTCGCACTGCAGCATCCCTAGACCGAAACGTTGACGAACAAGCCACACAGTGGCTAGTAACCATCACCCTAGATACCAATCACTGCAACCCATTTTGGCCTCCAGAGGCCCGCCCCTGGTGCACGAGCAAAGCCCGTCGAGACACAAACCGGCGCTCACGCGCGAGCCTGTCGTCTGTGAAAAGCTCGCAAACGAGGCCCCCCGTCGCGAGCTCCAGTGGATCAGGGGGGCCCAAGCAGTCGGGGCCCTTGCGCAGAAGCCACTCATCCCGAAATTGTTGAACATCGCGTGACTGAAAAGGCCTCGAAACCAAGAATCATCCCACGGAGTATTTTGAGATAATCCCCACCCGTCTCACCCACCACGTTCGCCCCCTCCCCCGTACGTCTCATGTGCTCAATAGCAAGGAAAAATGCCGAGCCAAGGGATTGGCACGTGATGTATCCATCGACCTCGGGGCAACGCTGGGGCGCCAAGGGAAGAGCGACTCAGGGGGCTGCTCGGGGTCCAGGGGGCCGAAGACAGCGGTCAACTGCTGCATATTCCACCCAGGTGAACGCGCCACTTTTTTGCCACTCTCTGAGCCTCCGGACACGCACTTCCAGGCCAATAGGGACGAGGCCCGCGCGCCGCCAAATTGCGTGTGCAGGGGGAGTACGTATGACGGTAGTCTCCATCCCAGCCGCATCCTTCGCTGCATGAGACGCGGCGGCTCCACCTAGGAGCACGCGGAGATGCCGAAGACACATAGAATTTAAATCTGCTTCCTGAGATTCAAGAAGAACAAGAGCCGTAAATCCTGAAACAGCAGCACCCGCAACATTACTTCGAAAAGCCATTTTTAAAGCACGCAATGAGGTGCATTGGGACCAGAAGCGACGCATATGATCCCATCCCCGAGACACCGCCGAACATCTGGAAGCGCCTTCAGGAGCCCAAGACCCTGTCGGAGTAAACAGCGCCCCCAGGAAAGGAATCATCGGAAGTGCGGCCCCTGGTGGAGCATCCGAACCGTGGCCCCGAAAAAAAAACAGCTCTGGAAAACCGATGAGCACCATGTCCCACGAAGTGCACCGATGGCATGTACCATCATGCTGGTGAATGCCATGAGCATTGATCTGCTGATTCAGTACTCTGTCAGAACCGTTCCCCCGTTATTGCACGCGTACCTTCGATCAAGGGCGGATGCGCAGCATGGCGTGAAACTTGCCAGGCACGGATCGGTGGTGCAATTCAGGTCCCCCATGTAGTTCCCATCGCAAGTTGAAAGATCTTGCGCCCCCCCCCCCCCCCCCCCCCCCCCATCAGCACAAACACGAAAACACGCATTACGGCGCCTTTGTCGCACGATCCCCGCATCCCCAGGTTGATAAAGACGATCGACGGCCGAGTCGAGGGACGAGTGCAGCACCGAAGCACAATCGTTACGCATATCATGTTTAGTATCGGTTGTTGAAGTTCTACATTTTTGAGCCCTCCACGTTAAGGCAGCCGTAGCACGCGCAGCACCTGCGCGCGAGCGTTTAAGTAGGTAGCCATAATCATGACACGGAACCATCATCTCACGTCTCTCCGCAATTGTTACCCACATCTTTCCGAATGAGCATAAGCCGTGTAACATTCTAGTCCCCAGAGTACGTAACTTTCCTTTTCCTTTAGGTAATTGATACGTGCACGACATATTCCACTGTGCAACAAGTCGACCGTGTTGGCGTATTTGGATCAGAATGCCAGCTACCCACCTCCCCATCAGGTCACCTCGGCCCGTCGGGGCCTCGGCCCCCAGACCAGCAACGCGATCGCGAACTCCGGGGCGCTGGCTCAAGAGTATGGCCCAGACTTCACTAGGAACGCTCCAAGGAACAGGTGCACGACGTCTAGCGGCCGTGCGGAACCCATTGGAGATTCCCTGGGGGCCCCCGAAAGCATGAGCGATGTCGTCGTCGTTCGGGGGGGCCCTGGAGTCAGACTGCGAAGCGCCCTCCACGAAGGCAGCCTCGTCGATCACCTTCGCGGACATGCCCCCCCAGACGCGAAGGGGGAGCAAGGTCCTCCTCCCACTCCTGCATACTGGATGTGTTCTCAGCAATCTGGCCGAAGCGGCGTCGCCTCGGACCCGCCCCCGCGCCCGCCATCAGACGACATATCCTCCACTCCTCGCTCGCAAGTCCTCGTGCTTGTGCGTCTTCCAATTCTCCTGCCACTTGGGACTCGCGCGGCTCGCGTACCTCTCGCCTCATAGCCTTGCACATGCGAGTTATCCGCGGTCGTTTCATCACTGCATCAAGACTGTCGTTCATCTCAGCTCGAGCCTGCCCACGTTGAATGTGAGCAGCTTTCCTTTCCTGGGCCAGCTTCTGGTGCGCCACAAGTAAAGCCTTCGGCGTAGCTTCAAACATCTCCAATCCAGAATCCAACAGCAAAATAATCAATTGACTCCACGCGGCTTCCAGAGTATCCGCTTTTCTGAACCAGTTGCTCAACATGCTCCAATACGCTCGTCGCCATAAGATTCCCAATAGCTCGTTCAACCTTCTGCCGAAAAAGGGCCAGCAAAGAACTCAGAACGCAATGCCTGGCCGAGCGCAGCAACATCCCAACGTCTACGTTCTTCACGCTCCGCTGGGCGCAGCCTCAGTTCTAGCCCAAAAAGTGCAGGGCGATGATCCTGATCCCGAGGCCGACTGTCAGGAATAGATTGGACCCTACGCGCCGGTCGGTATACTAATAAAAAGCGACGGATGTGTCCAACATGTGTTTACGGAATAAAGACATGACCAATCCAAGATACATCCTGCTGCTTCTTAGGACGTGGCAACTCCTGCTGGGACCCTCGTACATCTTGTGATTTTGTGGGCGTCCCGTAGTACGATGGGCCACAATGAAAAATGAAAGCATGTCAACCGCTGCAAGGTCGAAGGGCTCGGCCAACTCACGCATTAGAGTACCCTCCTGGTGTTCAACGCCTCTTCCATGTTCTCCAAGGGCGGAACTCTCGATCATGATCGGGCCATGATTGCCTGGTGCTAGTCCGAGTCCGTCGTTCAGATCTGTGCCAATCAGGGGGGAAGTTCGAGAAGTCAGCCCCGATATCACACACAGTGCAAAGTCGTGCACCGTCTGAATCGTGAGTCCCAGTCGCACCTGTTCACGAGGATCACGGGGCCGAGGAGGAACTTACAACCCGATACAGCATATGTCGTCATAAAAACATGGAATGCGGATGGCCGCAGCACGGCCACGAATGTCAATCGGAGCAGTCCATATACGCACAACGTCTCGATGCCGTACAGTGGCCTTATTCAAATAGAAAGAAATCCCGCAGCTCGTGTTCGTGTACTCCCTTTTGTGGTGGTAGCCGCAATGAACAACCTTGAAACGAGGTAAATATTCAACATAATACGCCTTCTTCCAGATATATTTGCTGTGAGTCCGAATGAGAATAAGTATGTCTACCTTCGCAAACCCGTACTGGATTTCGAACTCCCTGTCCCGATCCGACACAAACAGTGGATTCCAGCACAGGATTCGCATGTCTGCTGGTAGCAATAGGACATGCAGTAAGAAGTGGGGTGAAAAAAAAGTACGGTGGGAGCGCGCGGAGGCCAGACTCGGTGTCGG